GTCTGCTCTCAAGTCACTGTCAAATCCTCAGAGGCAAGTAGGGGCACAGTAAAGAGTGCTCGTTGTTACAGCTTCCCATTCTGTGCTGCCCTCAGCCTCTATTACATAATAAATAGAAACAGATCTGTTGTGGGGGTCACATGGCATAGTGTCAGTGTGGCAGGGGTGGTAAAACACTGGAGCCAAGGCTGCCTGGGTTTAGATCTTGGTTCTCACACTTGCCAGCTGTGTGACCTTGGACAATTTGCATAACCTCTCTGAGCCTCAGTTTCCTCCTCTGTGAAATGGAGACAGTGGTAGGCCTACTGTACCCACCACTGTGGAAGCTTCTGGTGGCAAGGAGCTTGCTATTGAGCCCTGGAACATCCTTAGTGCCTGGAACAGTGTAGGTGCTTAGTGAGTATTTATTATATGAATGGCTAAATTAAATCAAAAACACCTTGCCTAGGCCTGGAACATGGTAGAGGCTCAACAAACATTTGCTGTGTTTGATTCTAAGTCCTGTTTGATCAGACCCATGCATATGGCCATCTGCTTCCCAAGCTGGCATTTTTTGTTGTGGCCTCTGGACAGCTGCCACTGTCATGCCCTTGGGCGCTGGTGCCCAACCCCTCACCCTCCAGGGAGGGAAAGGCATTCTTCCTCTTTGCCACCTCTACTTCACCCCCGAGGCAGGTGACACTCATTGGAGGTTAGCAGGTCTCCAGGTCTTAGGCTTTGGGGTTCTTAATTGCTTAGCGAGGNAGGTGGTAGATTTAAAGTTTTCTGAGGTTTTTTGTTGTTGTTTTTTCTTTTTTCAATTGTGGTAAATACACATAACATTCACTATCTTAACCATTTTTAAGTGTTCGGTTCAGTAGGATTAAGGACATTCACATTGCTGTAAAACCAATCTCCAAAACTTTTTCATCTTGCAAAACTAAAACCCATTAAAAAATAACTCCCTATTCCCCCTTCCTCCCAGCCCCTGGCAACTCCCATACAACCTTCTGTCTCTGTGAGTTTGACTGCTGTGCATACCCCACATAAGTGGAATAGTAAAGTATTGTCTTTCTGTGTCTGGCTTATTTCACTTAGCCTCATGTCCTCAAGGTTCATGCATGTTGTAGCATATAACAGAATTTCCTTTATTTTTAAGACTGAATAATATTCTAGTGCGTGTCCATGTGCCTCTGTGTGTGTGTGTCTACATACACACCATACTTTGTTTATTCATTCATTCGTCAATGACATAGGTTGTTTCCACCTTCCAGCTATTGTGAATAATGCTGCTCTGAACATGGGTGTACAAATATCTCTCTGAGGCCCTGCTTTCAATTCTTTTGGGTAATATCTAAAATTTACAATACCATTCTATTTTTAATTTTTTGTGGAAATTCCATACTGTTTTCCATGGTGGCTGCACCATTTTATGTTCCTATCAGCAGTGCACAAGGGTTCCCATTCCTCCATATCTTTGCCAACACTTGTTATTCTGTATTTTTGACAGTAGCCATCCTAATGGGTGTGAGGTGATGTGACCTCTGTGTGATGCCTAGGCAGAGCGATGACAGTGCTGGAAGTCACAGCTGGGACATGGTAGTGTTGGAGTTCA